AACCCCCGGCTCGGAGATCACACCTTTGAACTCTTGTTAACAAAGTCCTGTCAAAGACTGCTGTCAAAACGGATCATATTCGTATTTAAACATTCATACATGAGTCAAGCTGTGAAAAAATTCAACTCTGTGCACGGATTCCTCTGTGAACACGAACTCCACTGTGGAAATGACGTCACAGGTGGGTGTGGAGAGAGTAAATTTAAACATGGCTGCCGAGAGTGGACCAGGTGGAGCTAAGCTACCAGCTCAAGTGAAGCATCATAGGTAAGATCAATAACGTGTGTCCAGTATTTATTATATATTAAAGGAAAAACAGTACTATTTAAAATAATGCACAGTTCTTGGACTTGAAGACTTACTGCTGTAGTTTGCAAACTAACAACATGCTGGTCGTGGGTGAGCTAAGTTAGCATTACTAGCATTAAACAGGGGTGTCAAACCCACTTTACAAAAAAGGTCCAAAATTAAAACCTTTTTCAAACTAAGAGCCAGTTTCAGAATCTACATGAACTCAAGTTAGATACCAGCATCTTTTCTTGGCTGCAGGTTCCCCAACAAGAGTTTGATTGGTCTCATTTGATGTTCGCTGTTGCACTTTTGACATCAAAATCAGAGATTACTGAAATAATTAAATTGTTAAAAGCATTTACATTTAAAAATAAAATACCATCTTGGGGGCCAGATAAGATGTCAATGAGGGCCACATTTGGCCCCCGGGCCTTGAGTTTGACACGCATGCATTAGAAGTTTGCTTAAGGCTGGACGATATGGCCAAAATTTTATCACAATATATTTAATTTCGGTCGAGAACGATATAATTCGATATTGATATAAACAATATAAAAGCCTCATTAAAACTTCAAACTATACAAATAAATTAATGTTCACCTTTTATTTGTACAAACCGGATTCCAAAAAAGTTGGGACACTAAACAAATTGTGAATAAAAACTGAATGCAATGATGTGGAGGTGCCAACATCTAATATTTTATTCAGAATAGAATACAAATCACAGATCAAAAGTTTAAACTGAGAGAATGTTTCATTTTAAGGGAAAAATCTGTTGTTTCCAAATTTCATGGCGTCAACAAATCCCAAAAAAGTTGGGACAAGTCCATTTTTACCACTGTGTGGCATCCCCCCTTCTTCTTACAACACTCAACAGACGTCTGGGGACAGAGGAGACCAGTTTCTCCAGTTTAGAAATAGGAATGCTCTCCCATTCATGTCTAATACAGGCCTCTAACTGTTCAATCGTCTTGGGCCTTCTTTGTGGCACCTTCCTCTTTATGATGCGCCAAATGTTCTCTATAGGTGAAAGATCTGGACTGCAGGCTGGCCATTTCAGTACCCGGATCCTTCTCCTACGTAGCCATGATGTTGTGATTGCTGCAGAATGTGGTCTGGCATTATGATGTTGAAAAATGCAGGGTCTTCCCTGAAAGAGATGACGTCTAGATGGGAGCATATGTTGTTCTAGAACCTGAACATAGTTCTCTGCATTAATGGTGCCTTTCCAGACATGCAAGCTGCCCATGCCACAAGCGCTCATGCAACCCCATACCATCAGTGATGCAGGCTTCTGAACGGAGCGTTGATAACAACTTGGGCTATCCTTGTCCTCTCTGGTCCGGATGACATGGTGTCCCAGTGTTCCATAAAGAACTTCAAATGGTGACTCATCTGACCACAGAACAGTCTTCCATTTTGCCACACTCCATTTTAAATGACCCCTGGCCCAGTGCAAACGTTTGAGCTTGTGGAGCTTGCTTAGAAATGGCTTCCTCTTTGCACTGTAGAGTTTCAGCTGGCAACGGCAGATGGCACGGTGGATTGTGTTCACTGACAATGCTTTCTGGAAGTATTCCTGAGCCCATTCTGTTATTTCCTTGACAGTGGCATTCCTGTTTGAGGTGCAGTGACGTTTAAGGGCCCGGAGATCACGAGCATCCAGTAGAGTTTTACGGCCTTGACCCTTACGCACAGCGATTGTTCCAGATTCTCTGAATCTTTTGATGATGTTATGCACGGTTG